ACCTCCTATTGTCTCTGACCCTGGGCAAGAAGAGAAGGGACCAGGGACCACACAGCTGAGCAGGTGGGCCAATTATTTGAAAGAGAAGAAGAGATATTGTTCCCTATTAGAGCCCATCCAAATGACTCACTTTCTCAAAAGCCACATGAACCTTCTTTTAAAAATAGCAGGTATGCTTGGCCTTGCATGAATGGCCTCCTTGTCTTCTCCTCCCGGCCCCTCACCCCTTCCCTCCCGCAGAATCCTATTTCATCAGCTGCCTTTCGATACTTCTAACTGGGCAGGTTCCTTGGTGACAAAGCCCCGAGCATGGCCAGCAGCCCCTCCTGGGCCCCAGGCTGGCCCTACATTCATGCAGGCAAAGAAAACTCAAAGTCAGCAAGCCCAAAAGACGTTTGCCTCCAGTAATTAAGGCTGGGTGGCAGCACCCCGCCGGTGTGAGCGGGGGGCTCATCAAAGTTTAAACGGCTGGACAGGCATTCGAGAGCCCACTAAATAATGAATCGTACTCACTGCCCAGCCCGATGGCCAATGCTAATATCAAGGCAATGATCCCAATGACAATGATGGGAAAGAACTTCAGTGGGAGCAGGGACAGTATCTGTGCTGCAACCGCATCCGCGTCTGAAAACCGAAAAGGTGGGGGAAGAGCAAAAAGCCACAGAGCAGCGGATTTGAATAAAATAAAACTTAAAATTGAGCTACCCATCCCCACTCCCCTCAAAGCAGAGAATGTTCTGGCCCAAAGAAAGTCGCCGTGGTTAGACCAAAGGCCACCTATCCGGGGACACATGCTCCAGAGGCTCAGCCCCATGCTCTCCGCCCCCAGCCCACTTGTGTCCATCCCCGCTTAGGGGATGGTGTTACTGACCGAATTGTGTCCCGCCCCGCCCCTCAGTATGTTGAAGTTTGGACCCCAGAATATCATCTTATTTGGAAATGGGGTTTTTACAGGGGCCATCAAGTTAAAACAAAGCCACCGTGTGGGTCTAATCTCATCTGACTGGTGTCCTTTAAAAAGGAGACAGTTGAAGCCAGAGACAGACATGCACAGAAGGGAATGGTGTGAAGAGACACAGGACACCATGTGAAGATGCAGGCAGAGATGGGAGTGATGAACCTACAAGCCAAGGAACCCCAAAGATTATCAGCAAACACCAGAAGCTGGGGAGAGGCGAGGAAGGGTTCCCCGCAGGTTTTAGCGAGAACACAGCCCTGCCGGCACCTGGGCTTCAGCCTTCTGGTCTCCAGAACCATGAGACAATAGACTTGTGTTGTTCTAAGCCACTTAGTTTGTCGTCATCTGTCTCGGCCGCCCTAGGAAACTGGTAGAGGAGGGAAGCGGAGCCCAGGTCCCCAGAAATGCTTCCCCAGAGAGGGCGGTGACTCGTAAAACCCAAACAGGGTACTCTGAGGAGAGGGAGGGCTGGGGCCTCTGAGGGGGTCACCGGATGATGTAGCAGCCCGTTCTCCGCGAGTCTGGTGCTTGGGGACACCAATAGCCTTGTCCCAGGCCGTCTCCCTGAGGATGCTGGCAGAGCAAGCAGCCCGAGAAGATAGAGATGATGTCTCTCTCCAGAGCAAAGGAGCAGGTTTACCTAGCATCTGGCTTAACAAATACAATGTTTTCCTTTGGGACAAAGTGTGTGCAGGTCTGCTTGCAATCCATTATAAAAGATTTGAGTTGCCTTGGTTCTGGGTTCCTTCGTGGGATGCAGACCCCCTGGGCATGCAGTGTATCCCTGGGCTGTTCCATATCACCTCCATGGGGCTTGGCGGGCATGGGTAACGGACTCGAGCAGGACGCATGTGCTGCTCGTTGCATGAGTAACAACGTCCTCCGTGTCTGACCCGGGAGTCTCCTGTCTTCTGCCAGCATCCAGCAAACTGCGCAGGCTGGTTTGTTAGGTTGCAAGTAGGGTAAACCCCAGACCTGTCCCAGTTCTTGCCGAAAGAACCAGGCAGATTGGATGAGAAAGAGGATGCGCTGTATAAACGTTATGATGCCCCAAAGTACAAGCGTCTCTGGGCAACCAGGAGAATTTCCACCAGCACCTTTACTCCAAGAAGAACAGGCCCCTTCATGCAAATTATCTCATCAATCCTGAAAACACACCTATGCCAGACTTGTCCCCACTTACACTGGGGAAGGTGGGAGTGTAGGAAGGGGAGACAGCCTTCTTCACAGCACACGGTTACTCAGGACACAACGTCCCTTCCTCTCGCACCCTAGGCTTAGAGATGTTGAGCTGAGAGGGCCCCCATGGAAAGCATTCCGAGATCTCCCCCTGCCTGTCCTTGGAAACCCACAGCTTCACCCTCCGGCAATAAAGCCTGTGCTTATAAAATGGCCAATATCATTCAGGGCTCCTTAAAAAAGAAAGAATTTGAAGACAAAAATGGGGTGGGGGGGAAGGTGGGAGAGGAGGAGAGAAGAAGAGAAGAGTAAGAGAAGGAACAAGGAAGAGGGAAGAAGGAAGAAGTTAAGGAGAATAAGGAAAGGCACACAGTCCGTGGCCTGAAGGATGCAGAATGAGGAGGGGGAGGCAGAGGGCAAGGTCTTTGTCTTGGCCACACTGAGCAGGCAATTTGCTCCACAGCCGTGTTCTCAGAGCCTAGACCAACACCTGGTGTGCAGCAGTCCTTGACAAATACAGCTGACCCTTGAACAACGCAGGTTTGAACCATGCGGGTCCGCTTACACATGGATCTTTTATGGTACCATACCTCAAATGTATTTTCTCTTCCTTAAGATTTTTCTGATAACACATTCTTTTCTCTAGCTGACTTTATTGTAAGAGCACAGTGTATAATACATGTAACACACAAGATACTTGTTAAGTGAGTGTTTATGTGATCAGGAAGGCTTCTGGTCAATAGTAGGCTATTAGTAGTTAAGTTCTGGGGGAGCCAAAAGTTATAGGTAGATTTTTGACTAGGTGGGGAGTCAGCAACCTACCCTCACCCCTGTGTTGTTCAAGGGTCAACTGTATCAGTCAATTGAATGGATGAATGACATCATGATAATGGAGGTTGTTTTATCTCAGCATGGGAGACCAATTCCTTCCAGGGCAACCAATTCGTGGTCTTGAGTTTACAGAGCAGACTCTTCTTTCCAGCCTTCCCCACCCCCAGAAGCCTGCACCAAATTAATAACTCCCCCTTACTGAGAGCCCACACTCCACTTACACTTTAAAAATCAGCAGGAACCCCAAGAATGACCTCTTATCATTCCAGTTGCTTTGTGTCTAAGAGTTAGATTTAGGAAATTCATCCTAATTATAGATTCCAAGATTGCTGCTCAATTAGAACCTTTGTATCGTTCACATTTGCCTCTTTACAGCTCATCTGCCGTGGTGCCCTGTGGGCGCTACCATGGCCCCGCTCCCCCTCCTTGTTCTGTCTTTGCGAGCATGCCTGGAATAAAAAGCAAAATGCATAGCAGCTTCCCAAAAAAGAAATGCAAATGATTAACCAGCACGAAAAAACCTTCAACCTCTCTGGAAATTTGAAAAACTGCAAATCAAATGTAACTACATATCAACCTCACAGTGGTAGCATTGCTGTGGTAGCATCCCCACTGCAATCCAAAGTGAAAGGAAATGGACCTCTGCTTATAGTCAAGAGGAGTAGACATTGTATAAACTTTTTGAGAGTCAAATTGGAAATACGAACCAGAATTTAAATGGATGGAATTTTTGACCTAGTAAAACCACTTTCAGGAATTTATCTTAAGATGTCATCATTGATGTACATAAATTTCTACCTATGTGGACACTTAGAGAGGTGGCAAATGTAATACTGATGCATGGGAAACAGCCTGAACGCCCATCAGAAGAAACTGGTGATAGAACACATGTATAGAGTTAGTTCCATGATAGGGAAAGGGAGTTGGCAAACCTCCTCTATAAAGGACCAGTTAGTAAATATTTTAAACTTTATGAGCCATATAGTCTCTGTTGCAACTGCTCAACTCTACTATGGCATGAAGGCAGCCATAGACAATAGGTGAATAAATGGATATGTCTGTGTTCCAATAAAACTTTATTTATAAAACCAAGTAGTGGGCCACATTTTGTCCATGAGCCATAGTTTTCCAACCCCTAAAGAATATTTAATTATTTAATGCCATGGAAAGAAGAACATGATATTGTTTCATTTGGGGGGGGAAAAAAAAAGCTTCAAAATAGAATATGCCACTTCCAAATGAAAATACAGGTATGTAGATCAGAAAAAGGCAAGAAATCCAATACTAAAGCACAAATAGGGTTATCTCTTGAGTAATGGTAAAATTGTGGGTAATTTTTAAAAATCTTTTTGATTAACTGTGTTTTCTAAATTGTTATAATGAACAATACATTGCTTATTTATTTAAAGCACTACTAAATTCCCACTGCTAGGAATTAATCATGAAGAAATAAGCAAAATTAGCAGAGGTGAATATGTATAGTGTTATTCATGCTCATATTATTTGTACTATAAAAATATTAGAAACAATTCTATGTCAAATGAGGATTTTAAAAACTATGTAAATTACACATCTACTTGATGGAATGTTGTGATGTTATAAACAAAAGCATGTATAAAAACCAAGCAGCACATGGGAAAACACCTGTCTATACCTACACTGTGCTTGAATGCATACTTATGGGCAAGGACAGGAAGAGAATGAAGGTAAACATAAAAACCAGGTAAATCTTGGGGGTCAGGTGATAGCAGGGTATTTTTTAAATGTATATTTATGTTCCTTTTTTGAGTTGTATTTTTAAATTGTGTATCCTTGCCTTTACTTGAAACCTGTCCTCCCACCTCCCATATTCTCCACCACCCCCCAATCTCAATTGTCCAGAGGGTTTAAAAGGAATCATTAGGGCAGCCCCCACTCCATGCTTTCTGGAACCTCAGCCAGAGCCCCCACACGTCCCCCGTGCTGGCCCCAGAGGTCAGCATTCCAGCTCACTGTTCCAAGTCCTGCATTTGAGACCTATTTACAAAACCAACTCTCCTTGTTGCTCAGAGCAGCTCTTGTCTCCTGCTGTTGGATTTTATTCTAGGCATCAAATACCTTCAGCAATGCCCAGCTTACTCTAAGTTTCCCAGAAGAGCTGATGAGCATTGGTTCTCAGGACTTTCTGGGGGGCTTGGAGATCTTCTGGCAGGACCTGACCCCTCACTCCCAGGGGCAATGGGAGCCTCAATTTCTGAAAACCTCCATTCAGAGAATGCAAACTTCTGTCTCCGGGATTTGGCAAGGGGCTGAACAAGGTGATGGCCCTCTCTAATGCCCCCCTCTCCGGGGTTCTATAAACCCAAGGAAGCGCAAGCATCCAGCTTGTGGGTGTGAGAAATCCTGGTGAGTATGTCCCCAGAGGGACACTCTGGGGACACTTCCCCAGAAATCACACCTGGTTCCACCTACCTGGTGCAACAGGACTTATTTTCAAATCGTCAAGTCCAAAAAGTGATCTGAAGGAGAAGGGGGCCTCCGCGGGGGGTGGGTCATTCTCCCCCATGGTGACTATTTCAGGACCTCCGAGGTTTGGCTCCACCTCCTTCACCAGGAAGAACAGAAAGCGTTTGCTCCCTTATTTACGGTTTTAGTGTCAAATACATCTTTGTCATGTTAAATCTTTGAAATCCAACAATCCACATAAAGCACATTCAGTACCCATTAATCAAAACTATGTGTCCAGCGAGAACGCATTTTTTTTTCTGAGCCACAGCAGGTAACAGAGAAACTTCCAGAGTTAACGAAAAACTATGAACTGAATTCTGCTAAAATAATGACTTTCTCACTGTGTATTCCTACCAATCTTAAAATCAGTTGACTAGCAATCTTTAGAGATATGCCCTTTTATGATTTAGAAATTACTGCACCTTTATTTTTCAGAAGATAAATCACTTTCAAAGCACCTTCCTTCTCTTTTTTGTCATTGTTCTTTGTCCCACGGAAACTCAACCCTTTGCCTACACATGCGGGACACCTATCATAACCATAAGAAGTTTTTTATACTCACACAATGTCCACACCCAAAAAATGTAGATGGCACCATGGAGGGGACACTCACCCACAGTATTTGTAGTTTTCCGTAAACACAGCCCTTCCCTGGCTCTCGCGGGCATGACCTAGTTAAGGATGAAAGTATCCATGCCCTCTGGGTGCCCAATCCCCCACACAGCAAAGGGAGGAGCAGCTGGGGACCGCTGGCTTGCACCAGCTACACTGGGGCTCTGTTTCCTCCGAAAGAATTCCACCTATCGCAAAGCCAGAGAGGTCAGAAGCCTCTGGAAATCATTCCCGTAACTCTAAGAGGGGCGGAGTGAGCAAGGAAATGGCGGAATGTTCCCAACTAAATCCCAACTCACCCTCCCAGGTATCAGTCAGGCATGAGTTCTCTGGGAACCTGCTTCCTCAAAGGAGGTTCCAACAGGCATAGAAACATAGATTCTTAAATCACCCATTTTCAATTTCTGTTTACTGGTTGTGATGTTTGAGATTCAACAAGAAACTATTAAGCCATTTAACGCAAACTCTGTCTTCACGCTGCTTCGCATGGTCTTAGGAAAATTGAAGCGAGAGTTATGCACTAAAAATATTTATTTCATTCCCGTCTCAAAAGTGGCTCTGAAAAGTATCTTAGAAAACTAGTAAATTCACATCCAGCATTTTTGCTTTTGATTCTTGCTGATACTTGCCACGTACTATCAGCATGTGGCAAATTACGCAGCTTAAATATTTATGATCAGAATAAGAACAAGTGGTAAAATGCTTTCTGAAACCTTGAACCTAGGCAGGCATGGAAGTCCCTTCCCAAAAAGGCGGTTGTCGGTCGGTTTCACAACACTGAGAAATGTTGCGAAATCCTCTTTCAGAAGCATCGTCTCTCCCCCACCCACTTTACTCACCATTTCTGGGGCCGCCATCATTAAAAGCAGAAATATTTTCCTTTTTCATTATAAGAGCAAGCGTGATGGTAAGCAGGCTGCCAACAGGTTCTTCCAATCGGGAAATACTTCCACCAGGTCACTCAGCCTTGTCGACTCAATCATCCCAGCAAACAGCATTATCGCGGGCAGCTGTGTAACCCGACCTGGATGTGACTATCAAGTGGCCATCGGTGGTATGACTACAGAGCCCAGGGAGGGGAAAAATGTGACTTGCCTTTAATTAGTAAGTAAGGTAAGCAAACCTTTTCAGAAACTTCACATAAGAGGCTTCAGAACACAGGCGCTCCTTTTATAAAAGAACAGAGAGGTCCTGCCCGGTGCTGAGCAAGCATACCAAGAGGGGCAGGCAAAACGCTCTGGCAGCGGTTTCTATCCCTCGGTGTGACTGACTCATAGCAGCTCTGCAGGCAAAAGAGAGGGAACCTGAAGTGTTCTCACAGTGAGCACTCCATAGAGACACTTCACACTCCATTCTGTAAGGGGCCTCTACGTCCCGAGGGCTTTCTGCACACAATACAGCTTTAAGATGTTTTATCAGGAGAGAACACAGCCCTGCTGCTGTTGGCAGGGAACTGAGCCCCTTTGGAAGTCTAGTGGAGTAGAGCTAGATGCATTCATTTATTCACCAAATATTTATGAGCCATCTGCCATGAGCCAGGCATCTAGACTCAGAGCAGATGGCAGAGAGGACAAAGCATTCATCTGTGGTCTCAGGTGATGACAAATGTGAGGAAGAGATGAGGCTGGGAGAGGCTTAGAGAGTGATCAGACAGGGTAGTGGAGGAAGACTTCTAGGAAGAAGTGGTATTTCAGTGGAGACCTCAATGATGAGATAAGGAAGGTCATATGAGCTAAGAGGGGAGATTGTTCCAAGCACAGGACCATCAACTCCAGAGGCCTGGAGAAGATGAGCTGGGGGTGTTTGAGGAACCCCAAGAAAACCTATGTGCTTGGAAATTGGCAGATCATGGAAGGCCTGGGCCATTGGAAGGACTCTGGTTTGATTTCCATGTGATGAAAAGCCACCAAAGAGCTAAGCAGGGCAAAGTCAGATCTATGCATGTGTACAAAGTGTAGGGACAGAGGTGAATTCACAGAAAGCCAGCAGGAAGCTACTAAAAACCTGGCCACCATGGCAGTGACTTGGACCAAGATGCTGGTGGTGCAAATGGAGAGCAAAAGCTAGATTTGGGATTTTAAAGATAGAGTTGGCAGGATTTGCCAATGGCAACAATAGCTAGAGAGATATATTCAGCCACTTGTGGTTTAACTCAGTTTTGTTTTCCTGCCTCCCAGCACCCGCCCACACACCTCTCAATGTTTTTGGATTTAAGACCAGGGATCCTTCAAGCTCATACACCCCTCCTTTACATCTTTCTTAACTACTCTCACTAGTCCTTGAACAAACCTTTGCCTTCAAAGACAGGGATAGGAAACTTAGAACTTAATTCTTTGTTTTCACCTGAGTGCTATAGGTGATGCTCCATTGGAGTACCACTCTCAGAGGACAGTCTAGAATGTATTATCGTGGCAGTTGACACAGTGATGAGTGTGTGGTAGGCTCCAGGTACATGGATGAGCTCATCATAAACTAAAGTGGTGGAACAATACTGAGTAGACATGTAGAAAACCAGAAGCAATCATGAATTCACATATGTCATATTAATACATTAACATGTTAACATCTTGGGATGTGTGTCAAATGAGGTCAGTTTGCCTGGGTATAGCAGGGAGATGACCCATGATGGTGGCTGAACTTCTACCACCATACAGTAGCCTCTCCGAAAGCTTACCTACAAATTGATTCCATCAATCTCAAAATGAAACTTTAAGGAAATAGAAATCAGCATACCTAGGGCTGGCATTCACCAAGGTGGTGTCTTCCGTGGTCTTGGTTTAGAGGTATGAGAAGAGGACCCCCCCCCCCGCCGAGGGGTCCTCTAGGAGCTGTGAAGTTTTTGTAACCGTTTGCACACAGCTTGAGTTCCAAGCATTGTCTCAATCTCCACCTTTTTTTTTTTTTTTTGAGAGAGAGAGCAAGAGCAGAGTGAGGGGCAGGGGTGAAGCAGGCTCTCCACTGGGCAGGGAGCCCAATGTGGGGCTCGATCCCAGGACTCTGGGACCATGACCTGAGCCAAAGGCAGACGCTTAACCGACTGAGCCACCTAGGCGCCCCTCAGTCTCCACCTTGATCCCATTGGTGAGAGAGGGATGCTTTGAGAGTCAGCCACAGGAAGAAGTGTCAATCAGGACACTTTTGTCTTTTCACCGTTGGCCTTGGAAGATAACTTTTCAAGCTAAGGAAAAGGGATGAGGCTAGATTGGGCATTTCCTGGCTTAACATAAGTAAGATTTTTTAGGGCGCCTGGGTGGCTCAGTTGGTTAAGCGACTGCCTTCGGCTTAGGTCATGATCCTGGAGTCCCGGGATCGAGTCCCACATCGGGCTCCCTGCTCGGCAGGGAGTCTGCTTCTCCCTCTGACCCTCCTCCCTCTCATGTGCTCGCTCTCTCTAGCTCATTCTCTCTCTCAAATAAATAAATAAAATCCTTAAAAAAAAATAAGATTTTTTAAAAAGAGAGAAATTTATATTTTAATATGTTATAAGCACAATTGCTCAGAAAGTGGTTTACTATTGAGAAAAGAAAAATATATTTGAGTAGAGGCTATATCTCAGACCCAAAATCTACTTTTTTTTTTCTTCTGGTTACAAGTTTTTTCTGCTTTGAGGCTTTTGAGTTTGAGCTATTTAATTCATTTGATTATGAAATTATTTCATCTTTTTAATTCCTCAAAGAAAAAGTATATTTAAAAACATAATTAACTTACATTTAAAGATGAAATATTGAAACATTTTCCTCTAAAATGGAGAACAACACAGGGAGACGCACTATATAGATATATGTCATATCTATTCAACATTCGGAGTCTAAGCCAGTACAATAAAAAAGGAGGAAAAGGATGAGGAAGAAGGAGAAAGAAAGAAGAATAAAGAAGAGGAGGAGAAGAAAAAAAGAAGAGAAGAAAAGGAAAAAAGAAAACAAGGAAAGAAAAGAAATAAAAAATAAATTTTAAAGTAAAGAATATGTACTGATAAGAAAGAAAAATATTATTCATAGACACAATTCCTTTTGTACATAGAATATTTTTAAAATTCTAGAGATTTGTTATTGGAACTAATAAGTAAGTCAAACAAGATATTTGGATATAAGTTCAATGTAAAGTAATGTGAAATCAATAGTGTTTTTAATCACCAGCAACAAAGAGTATGAATATGAAATTTTAAAAAAATAATTTACAATGGCATAAAAAATGATCAAATACTTAAGAACAATCTAACTAATACTGCAAGACCTCTACACAGAAAATTATGCAACAGAATTGAAAGAAGATAAAGAAAATCTGGTATCTATGCCAGGAAATTTAACAACTTAGATAAAATGGTCAAGTTCCTTGAAAAACAATTTAATAAAACCAACACAAGAAGAATACTCCTGTATCTGTTAAATAAGTTAAATCCATAATTTAAAACTTTCCAAGAAAATTCTAGGACCAGATGACTTTACT